CATAGGATGACAAAGCCTTCAGTTTGTGAACACCTTCTGAAGTCAGGTCATTCAGCACCCCACACGTGATTTTTCCTTTAAAGGTATCTACAGGACGAAATCCAATACTCCAAAATCTTCCGTTTTCCCCACTTATGCATAGTCGAAGCTGTAACTATACATGGACAGAAACATAAATTATGTGTGCAAAAGCGTTTTTTTAAATTCATTTCTTTATCTTGGTCATCGTAATGTTCCTTGTTTATTTGATTTTGTTTTACTGCTTGAATTCATTCCACAGTTCACTTCATTTTCGACGTCTTTACTGTTATCACCAGTGTACTCTCAATTTTTTAGGCAACACTAGACCTACAGTGTTTTAAAAATCCAAATACCAATTCACTTATTTATTAATCTTTCAAAGTTTTAATTGTTCATCCATTTCAACTCTACCCCTTAGTACATCATTGTAATTGGCTTTATTCTTATTATATATAGATAAAAAAAATGTAAAAAATGAAGTCAGACAGACAGAGAACAAGACAGAGAAGAAGCGTCGGTGTTATATATACAACTGCCTTATTAGGTTCATTAGGAAGATCAAAACACATCAACAGCTAAAAAAAAAAATTATGGTGAAACTAATAATGATAACATAAATAAGAAAGAATATAAGGCATCTACAGCAGTTTTACCATACAAGGAGGGGACATCTAAGACGCGGCGTGTAGGATTCTTAATGAAGCAGGTAGGACAATCTCTGTAGGTAGGTTAAAGGCCCCTGTAGGTTGACCCAATCACATAAAATAATATAATTTACAAAATTCCTTGCTGCATTGACTGTGAGTTGAGTCAACTAACTACATAGGTCAGCCAGTCAGTGATTGGTAGTCAGATTATCAGAACATAAGAATTTAGTAGCTAAGTACAGAATGATTCATCCCGCGAAGATAAGTAATTTGGATAGAAGAAAACTCAACAATCGCACTGCATGCATTAACACACAACTAACCACACAATAGGATGAGACAAAGTTGAAATTCTAAACAGTAATACAAATAGATGGCGAGAAAGGGAGAGAGGTTGGTCACCGACTGAATCTTTATTCATCAAGTAACCTACAACCAACACAACACAGGCAATAGAAATGCCTCATCACCCCTAGCATCAGAAATATAGAAAAGATTACTACCAATCAAGTGACCAGATGAGAAATACTGGAATCATATAAATGAAAATGGAAATTTGTGTGAGCAGTGCTTTGATATGACTATAAGCAGTAATAAAATTATTGTCCTCGAAATGTGGTCATCATTAAATATCACGACTGCATAACACGCTGAGACTTTATCAAAGTCGGTGGCACAGTGGTTAGGACTTTCGCCGACCATGCACATGGTCCGAGGTTCGAACCCCCGCCGACGCACACCTGATATCTATGGTCGGCCTGCAAAATTTGGGCTACCGATATCCATGCTGAAAATTCCACACTTGTACCAAAAATACAGTGTGGAATCAAGCTGTAAATCAAAAAAAAAAATCCTCAGTAGATTTTTAAATGGCATTTTTGATCAGCTCCTAATTACACTTTCAACACTCAATAACTACATGGGTTATATATGTTCAAGGAACTAAAGAACTAACCAACTAACATCAAAAAACGTCTTAATTTCACACAGCTTTAAAATGCATGCATGCATGAAAGTACGGTCATGTAATGAAATAATATTACAGTAGATAAAAATGCATACCAGACAATAATTATTTTAATTTCTGTGCTTTTTAGAAAATCTGGGAAGCTAAATTGAGTTCTACTTGTGAAATCTTACAACTGCATTTGTTTGATTATATACTGAAAAGTTTTTCCCTACTTTTAGATGCTTCTCTCGTTCAGCAAATTAAAAAAGTGTTGGCTTCTGTTCATTTTATTTATACAGGCTATAAATTAAGCACTTCCACTTGAAAGTCAACCAGACTAAATTAAAATGAAAACAGATCACCGTCACATAATAATGCGAATGTAATCGGTCCAAGACACTGATACTGAGGTTTTTCGATAAGACTATTCTTTTTCCCTCAATCACACTTGTGTTTATTATGTGTCTTTTGAATTTCTGTCTATTCTCTTCTCTTGCGCTGCGTGTGCTACATATAGAGTGGGAAATGGGACTGATGCACATCTGTACAAATTCCTATGTTGAGACTGGTCAGATTATTACTTTCACTTCGAAGAATTGCCCGTACTACGTCACTTGATGACTTCATTTATTTAACTCAAGTGTCATCATAACATATTTGGCTACGCGGTTATTTAGTTGATTACCGACCGGCATAGCCTAATTAGATGGGGGTGCAATCATAATATAATTTGGCTATGAACCAACCTTAATTGTAGTATAATTCATTGCAGAATCAAGTTATTAATTTTCGACGGGGTGTTTTTGTTATGTACTCGTCGCTAAATTATTGTTATGGTCTGGTCGAGAAACTAATAGTCCTGACGCGAGAAGGCGGAAATCAGAAAACCACTAGGTTTGCGATGATACTTCTATTGTCCAAACACAAGGAGACGAAAATAAGTGGTTTCACACCAAAGTGGTAAGTAAGTAAAGTAGTTCACACAAAATGTGAATGCGAAATATATATGAATGTTCCAGACAAAGCGTGGGACAAATCATTAGACAGTCTTAACATGAATGGCTAATTATAATGGAGTGTCGATCCAAATATACATAGCGAATATAGCAGACATGTCAACAACCATATATGGATATATGTCACCAAGCAACGGACTGTCAACAAACACTCATATTATATATAATATAATATAAGGAGAATATACATTGTTAAAGGCGACAGGCTCATAAAAGTGAAATGGTCACAGACTAAGAGAGCAAACGGAAAGAGAGACCAACATACACACACACACATAAATATATATATGTGGATACATATCAGTTTTAATCATACCCTCCACAGTTTTGAGCAAGTTCAGTCACCGTTACAATAACAACAACAGAATTTGTATGAAGACATCCGGGTCAAAAGCTGATCGAAGTTCTTACTGATAAATTATCTCTACAATCATCTAGTCCTCCCCTTCCACCTTCAATACTGAGATTATTGATCCTATTATCCAACCTAAGTCACAGAAGTACAGAACAATTTATCAGTTGGAGATTCATTATTTGCACAGTTAGTTGGGTTTCAGTGAATCCATGGAAATAAATGCCTGTTAAAACTCAGATCGAAAATCAGGACTCCAATAATGCAGCAAAATCTAGTGAACACGCTATTCGCGTGCATAGTCAGAAGATATTATAATCAGTCCATTCTCAGAGATCTTCACTCCAGTTTCGCCAATCTTAGAGAAGAAAGAATTCTCTCCCTCTCTGTATCTCTCCAGTTTCCACTACATGCCATGTTACTGATAATGCTTCTGGAGATATTTTGAACTTAGTTGGTGAAGTCTCTTCTGATGGTGAACTCATTTCAAAGGATTTTAAAGATTTATGTTCTGTTATTAGTCGTCACGATTTGGATCTACTGGGCGTAGACTGGATTGATAAACTATGTTCTTCGTGACACAGATTTAGTGGGAAATGCATGTATTCAGTACTCGCTATAAATGGTTAGTTCGGACCAATGGACAATGTGATGACTTCTATACTTTCGCTGGTAAAGTTAACCATGCACCGAGAAAGGATCTCACACACTATTTTGTAGGCGAGGCATCCTAGACAGAGGAGAGTACTCAGACTGAAAAATATCTTCCAGTGGTCTCCCAACTGAAAATCTAATAAAATGGGGAGCGGGGAGGGGGTAGGACGGATTAACTGATGCAATCAATCAGATATTGATTATCTATTTCTGGTTTAAATTTCCGTTTATATGTAGAGGATACATACTCTGCATTGTGTAATAATAAAGATGTTCTTGTGGCAGTTGTCTCAGTTACATCTGACTTCTGTATGTCTACTCAGTGTGGGGGAATGTTTCCGAGCAATCAGTTCGCCATGATGTCGTGACTGGAGGATCATTCTAGAGTCAGCATAGACAACAAAACAACAACAAGAGCAGTTTGAAGTGTCGTCTTATCATTATTCCCATCTTGATGTTGTGTAATGTTTTGACTGTACACTGATTTTTATGAACTCTACAATCTTACCAACCCCCGATAAGATTTGTACGTTCCAGGGACCATTCTTTAAGGAGTGCATAATCTACTTTGTCGCCTAATGTTTAACTATGGTCATAATCCCAAATATTACTAATATATTAAAATAAGCGAAACATATACGACTGTACAGCTTGATAGTAAACTCGTTGGAAAGAGCTTGTTCACTGAATTAACCGTTTTAATTTCCATAATTGCAAATTTTACACCGAAATCTACTTCTACATCGAAACATAAGATGATTTTCTTAGTCGTATTTATATACCACAATGACGATAAAGTTAGAACTTGATTTCAATCAAAAACTTGCAAACCAGCACTTGAATATTATGCTTACTAGTATCGACCGACTCTCTTCAGGTGGGTTAAAAGGTTACCTGGTTGGATTATGGTGGGAAGTCGTGACCAGAGGGTGTGAGAGGACAAACAGTCACCGCCGATGACATATTTGACTAGTGCCAATCGGGCTATATCGTGCGTGAATCGGTAGAAGTTGGAATTCATGGGCTGGCTGGCCACTGGATAAGTAGGGTGCCAGTGCCTTAATAATCAATCTACGAGCCCGCTTACCTTGTAACGGAAAGGTCATGCGTTCTAACCCTGGCGGTGGGTGTGCGATAGTGAGGAGTCCCGAGCACACCAAGACGAAACAGCTGTCCAGCACTCACAATGGTGTCCTCTAACCAATGTGAGCTCATGATGATATCCTGTAATTAATCAAATGCCAACAAACCAACACTTGAATAAAATTTTATTCGTTGTAGTAAGACTGCATATTCATTTCAGCTTATATATCACACTAAAAGAAAGGTGGTGTCAAAATCAAAAACAAAAGATTGAAATATTATCTAATGGATTTATTAACATTTTGTATACCAGCTCCAAAACAAGTTGCAATAAGTATTTTTCTGTCGGAATCTACAGGTTCTTCGCTAACTTTGCTTGTCTCTTCTTCATCCTCTTCTTTCTTTTCTTCCCCTTCTTCTCCTCCTCCTTCTACTGGCTTGACGGTTGCGTTCACAGCTTCGTATTGAAAGTTGAATGTAACCTGGAAGAAAAAGAGGAAAGAATAAATTATACTGTTTATAGGACTGACTACCACCCGATAACAGTTAGAGAACCATTGAAAGACCACCTGTGAGTACTGCCAAACAGCTGTTTCATTTGCCTAGTTTGAGACTTCGCTTCAAAAGTACGCACTCACCGCACCAGGGTTCGATTCCAGTTACAAGATGAGAGAGCTCGTAGAGTATCACGCCACTGGCGGCACCCTACCGATCCAATGGCCAGCCAGTCCATAAATCCCAACTCCTACTGATTCACGCACGATACAGCGGATTGGCACTAGCCAATAATGTTATCGGCGGTGAGTGTTTGTCCTCTCACAGACTATCTGCTGTGCCACCACACTGGTCTCAACGTAACCTAAGAGAAGAGGGTTAGTCGATAGTGAATATGACAATGATAGTCAAGTGTTAGTTGTCCGGTACAACTGTTCAGTACTCCTAGGTGGCTTTCCAAGGGTTTTTCAACCGATGTTAGCTCATTATGATATCCCGAAACCAACAGAATCCCTGAAAATCAACATTCGAATAAAGATGAGGTGTTGTAAACTATCGAATGTAGAAGTCCCAATTGTAACTTTTGCGTCACAAATAGTAATGAGTCTCAGTGTAAATCACATTATAGTGTAACTTCACAGATTCAGTGTATTTCAATTCCCATTCAGAGTACATTGTTGGACACAGTTCGACAAATAATGGATGCACAGTCAATGAATAAAGCTTTAGTCATGTATTTAAATTTAGTGAGTAGTCAGTAGTGGTTCAGAGGTAGGCACACATGCTCACCAGTGAATCATGCGTGTGGTCCGCGGGGTCGGAGGATCCCCTTCGCCTGATCAGCTCTCTCTCTCTCTCTGCAATACCTATCTGCTTAGTCGGTAGAAGTAATCGCGGTAAAGGGGGTAGATTAGCCATGGAACTGGCCTAGCAACCCCACTCTCCATAAAAAGAATAATACAGTTTCCAGCGAAATTATCCAAGCTACAAAGCTTGGAGCATTAAGTTTCACGCATAATGCAAAGATAGAAAATAAAAGCAAAACATAACACGCTGAAATGCAGAATCGGCAATAATTACGGTACACTTGACCTGTATGACCCTACAATTACAGTACGTACGTTAGAATTACAGTGTCACGCATAAGTCGACGCCTGAGCGATTAGTTCTTTATCATCGGCTCCACACAAATACATAGTTTTTGCATCAGAATTTCATCAATTGAGTGGTTATTTTAGTCTATCAGTTTTAAGTACAGTGATGAGGCTGGGAGCGGTGAAATTAAGGCGTTAAAAGCCATCAGAACATCAATTAACTAATAGATGTTAGCAACAAGATAACTAAGTTGTGAAGGAATTCAAGAGTCGTTAATGCTGGTAGGCATTAGTGCAACAAATTATTGCATAATCAAGAAACTTCTAAAATACCGGTGGTCACTGAGAAGCAAAGGATGATTCAGGAGAATTACGTAAAATACAAACAAGTTAATGGGATTACCTAGAATTGTAAAAATAACAAAGTCAAAAGATAATAACAAAGGGAGGGGAAAAACCTATTTCGAAAACTTAATACACATTATGTAGTTGGCCATGGCAAAGAAAGCGGCTGTACAAATTTCTTTTGAACTCACAAACAGATTTGGTTTGTTCAGATAAATTCTGACTGCCTCTACTGAATGTGTGTAAACGTCGTACTCGTAGTTCATACGGCAAGAGACTGGGTGAGATAAGATAAATAACCTTGAAGGCTTTGTTAGAGTCGATTTAATGCGTAGGCGGATACAGTTAACATATAGATAATCTGACATTCAAGAAACAGTCACAAAGAGATGCAAAGGTTAACTTTCTGTGAGAAACAACCAATCAGAAGACTGTCTTTCTGCTAACAATAATCTATAATATGTACATGAAAATCTATAAATATGTGTTGATTTCCTCAATAAACGATCTGTTGCCTGGCCCTTGTCTTCTGTTTTTACAGGTCTCAGATGCAATCATCTACATATTCTGTCTGTTTGTCATTTAGTCATTAGGACGCCAAAAAAATGGGATAGAGATCTTTTCTTCTTCTTTTTTAGTGAAGCTAATGGGAAGATATGCTTTAATGCTTATATATCTTGTTACTAACATCTATTAGCAATTTGCTTTGGTGACTTTTCACCTCTTAATTTCATACACCTCCAGAGTATACTTAGAACTGATGAAGTAAAATAACTATTGCACATATTAGTGTAGAGACGACGCTGATGAATTAAAGGAATGTATATTACTTCGCTTAATTTGTTGTTGCCTTTTTCTAGATGCGAAGAAAAGAAGTATTTAACACGTACTTATAAGGAAAAAGATTTTTTTTAAAAATCTCGCACTATCCACTCTTTATGACCAGTTAATGTGTTGTTTAGACGAATAGAACAAATGTAAACACTCATCTCGATAGAATATAGAGTTGTGTTGTCTCCAATTTAGTGATATCATAAATCAATGAATTAGTGGTATGCGTAGACGATCGAATATAAAAATATACTAATGTTTTTCAGTTAGGCTTTTAAAAGATTTTCCGGATTTATATGTGGTCAACAACTTTCTAGATCATGTAATTTCAATTTGGACTTTGCCGTTGATTTGCTGGACATAATTGTTCAGCCTCGAGATGTCGAAAATTGTAAATCAAATTTATGTTCTACGGGGCTTGCTTGGATGGTTGTTATTTTGTACAGCAAAAAACATAAAAATAGTATATGGATGTCTGGCCAATAATCGAGGCACAGGTCAAGTCAAGTCACCTGCATCCCTGTAGACACACTAAGAAGTCTGAGTACACGTTAAACGAATAGTTAGAGAGTTAAATGACGGTTGCAGTGAAGAAGAAAACCTTTTCCCTTTTCGCCGAAGCCAGTGCCAACTACACAGCCGTACAATTGTGTATTTAGAATTTAAAAAAATGGGTGAGGAAGTTCCAAAAGTGTTAGGAAGAGGCAAAACACATGCAATTATCAAGTTATTATCATGTCATTTCTGCTTTCTGATTGGACGCTTGCACAGTTCCAAACTCTCAACCGGATTGGTTGATTTTCAGTCTACCTTATTTTTGTATAAATACAGTCACTTTTGTTACAAATAAATGATCCTGGTTTTACCGCTGATTATCGCGTTTTCTGCTTTACCAGTTAAGTGGGCACTGGTCAGTAGTTAAGCAGTTACCTCGAGACAAAGATCCAGCATCATAACAAAAAGTCTATTTCCTGTCGGTCAGCAGTCAAAATAATAAAATTACAAAGTGTAATAAACACGAAGATCGGATAAAAAAGAATATAGTAAGATCATGATTATGGAGGAGATTGACTTTGTTTTGTGCAATAAAGGATTAAACACGTAGTAATAAGAAAATAGATTGTAAGTTAGGCATAAAAAACTATTATCTAAAGAAGCTGTTACTATGATGAACTTCCAACTAGTACTTCAGATTCAAGAACGAAATATACAGGCAAATAGATGAGTAGCAACGGCTTCTCCTCTAAGATCCATCTTGGCCGACTGCTTTATGGCTAGCCTAGAAAACAATTCTTTATCATCAACTATTGATGAGTTTCACTTCTACAAGAAAGATACATTGATGATACACTCTTATTATGTGTGGTGAGAATTTGTATCTCGGAAACCGACTCCAAACCTTCTTTAATGCACACACTCCAGACATGAACTTCACTCTGGAAGTTGAATCTGACTCAATGTTTTATTTCCTCTTCGATGTTGAAATACGAAGAAATGCTGACAACTCACTGCGAAGATGCATCTCTCAAAAAAAGCCTACCCACATGGAACGGCCAGTATATCAACTTTTTCAAAGTTATGTACCTCTGAGCGGAAATAGAAACTTCAAAAGCTCTCTTTCCTCGAGGGTATGGAAAAAAAGATGCACTGAGGAGTTAACTGACCAAGAACTGCGAAATCTCCAAGCAACACTGATTAGGAATGATTTCCCTTCCCCAAATTCATACACAAAAATCCAAAAGCGATGAAAACATCTGGAAAGAACCAGGTCGCCTCCAAAAATAATGCCACTTGATGCTTCTCAACCGAGAATTTAAAAGTGATACCGAATCAGAGCTTCTCCGTAAACAGCTTTTGAAATCTCTCGGTAAAACATACTGAGTGGCTGCCAGGCATCTACGAATGACACTTCTCTACAAGAAACTATTCAACCAACACGTACGTGAAAGACAAGCTATCGCACAATTTTGGAAACTTCAACATGCATGCTAGAGTTCACTGTGCTCCTTACTGAAGTGCTGAGTATGTTGGTGCCATACCATACCTCCACTTTTGAAACGACCCCGGGAACACTAGCCAGCCATGCTGGATAGTGAAGGGTGAACGCGAGGGTGTATATAGTTCAGTAAAAGAACAGAAAATATGATGGTGAATTCAGGATATCCAGCTCCACCTGCTGGAAAGCCCTTCAAAGTCATATACACGATCCGGTCAAACGTGTGTTGCACACGCAGTGAGGGAGTGAAATCAAGGTGCACCTGGCTGCAAATAGCTGAGACAGGCACTAGCCATCCAAAAGTTCAAGCTCATGATATGTATTCATCGAAATTAATACGTCCGTTCATCCATTGTCTCTACTATGGCCATCAAGAAAGGTTAGTCCTATCAACAATGATTGTCCCATTATCTTTCTTATCCAATCTTTCTGTTTATTTTTGTTATTACAGTTTATACTTTTATTATTTTGACCCTTGACGCACTGGAAACAGTTGTGGAACTAACTTTCTCACCCATTTACTATATAAATAAAAGATGGTACAGCTTCGTCGAAAAGAAAAAGGTTTTCTTATTCGCTGCAACTGTTTTTTTTAATACTTCTTAATGTGTATATTTCGTTAAAAAAAAAGAGTGAAACAGAAGAATTAAGCGTGAAAAAAAACACGAATGACTTACCCCAAGGAATTGTCGAATTAGTCTTAGTGTATAAACAGAATAGTCGGAAAGATTTCCCACAGCTAGCCGACTTGCGTTCCGTCCACTTTCACAAGCCATGAGAATGAAAGCTAAAGATTGACTTCCTGAGTCAATAAATCCTCCTCTGTAGATCTAGATGAATGCAAATTTAATAAATCCATTAAGTACCACAATAAATTGTGATGCAATAGAAGAGGCGTGTGATCAAATTAATTACAATGTCAAGCTGAATACGCATATAAAAACCAGTTATTCTGTAAAAAAAAAAAGCATTAGTTGTCAGAAGAATCGCTACATACATGGTTGCATCAAGCCATTATCTCAAGATAGACAGACGATACAAATGAAAGCCGGTTACTTTGACTGTCTGGTTTCAACAGAGAACTTAGCACAAATATAGAGCAGTCCCAGTTGTGTCTCTCCCCCTTCATGTAGTACATATAACGCAAGAGAAGAGAGTAAACAGAGATTCAAAAGACAGATAATAAACACAAGTGTGTGTGTGTGAGGGAAAAAGAAGTCATATCGAAAAAGAGTAATTTCATTGAATATGACAAATGACACAAAGTGAATGCATCTTCGTCATCATTGACAACGACAATTTTGAGGCAACCATATCAGCAATTGTATCCAGCTCCCATTGATTCTTACCATCATCCCGAAGACTCAACCAGCCTCTCAGGAGGTCTACACCTCCTGACGTGGCTGGCTGGCTGGCTTGAACAAACTGTTGTAATGGATTTCTGTGACTGGTGAAGTCAGTCACGTTTTCGTTTGACCACTACTACACGTTAGCTAAGTAGCTGTTTTTCAACCTTATCCATTTTATTTCAGCTGAGCTAACCATGCCCACCACTCAAGTTAGATGATGTATGGTTAGACATAATTGCGTAACACATGTCCTGAGCACCTCACTCAATCCACGTAATTGATTGACAACCTCCTCGTCGATTGATTTTCTCTTCTCCTTACCTAGCGGGGCGGGAACGTCTAAACCTATACAAATAATATCAGAAGCCGTATATTAAAGGTTACCACCACCGAGACACAGAAGACGCCAGTGTCACACGCTGATAACGTATAACAACTAAACTAAAGGGCGGCTATATTATTATAATATTATCCCTTTGGGTTCCGAGTAGAATATTCAGCTTCAACAGCAGGTCTCCACTTTGTCTTATTCTCTTCGGTCGTCTTCAGCTGGCCCCACAACTGCCAATGGTCTCTCATCTTTTCCAGGCACGATCTCCTCTACGCCAACCTCGGATACATATCCAACTCGTCGTTTCCCATTCGGCTTCCACTCGATCAATGATCTGCAACGGTCTCCACAGCCAGTGTGTGCCCGATTCATTTCCGTTCTACTCTACATAATTGTTGAGCGATAGGTTCTCATTTAGTCGCTTTCTAATTCTTTCTAATCGGCCATCTGATCTTCAATATGGAGGCAGAGAAGGCGACGGCTGATCAAAGTCTGCAGTAGCCTGTTGAAAACAGATTTTGTGACGCGTAAGCCAAGTTTCTGACCCATATAAAAGACGGGACTGACTTCACATTTGTGTTGAAAATCCGAACCTTGTTCTTTATGCTGAAGCAGAATGCAGAAGATTTTCAAACTGATTTCAGATTCAAGTGTTGGTTTGTAGGGATTTGATTGGTTTCAGGATTTCATCATGAGCTGACAGTAGTTAGAGAACCACTGGAAAACCTAGGAGTACTGGACAGCTGTTTCGTCCTAGTTTGGGACTCTTCAGCAGTATGCACCCACCGGGATTTGAACCCAGGACCTTCCGGTTACAAGGCGAGCTCGTATACCATTAAGCCACTGGGACCCGATCCAATGGTCCTTCTGCCAATTCAGGACATAGCGCAACCGCTAGCCAATGTTTTCGGCGAGTATTTGTCCTCACACCCGACCAGCTGCACCCTACTGGTCACGACTTCCCACTGGAACCCAGGTAACTACCTACCTGAATAGGGCCAGTCGCCAGTGAGCATCTTATTGGTATTCAAGTGTTGGTTTGTAGGGATTTGATTGGTTTCAGGATTTCATCATGAGCTGACAGTAGTTAGAGAACCATTGGAAAACCTGGGAGTACTGCACAGCTGTTTCGTCCTAGTTTGGGACTCTTCAGCAGTGCGCACCCACCGGGATTCGAACCCAGGATTTCAGATTTATGAATATTTGCCGCCTTGCCTTTCTGTTTCTGGCTTTGACATCTTCATCCGTTATAACTGCCTGTGTTTGAAACGACTCTGCATAGATGGTGATTAGTGCTGGTTGTTGTTGTTGTTTTTGGTTGGTTATCTTCATCACCCCGACTCCAACATACTTTCGTGAAGTCCTGCCTTTGCTGAGTCTTGATTTTCGTCTAAATTTATTTTACACTAGACTTTAATTGATAGCGAAATCCAGATCGTTTAGGGTTTTCCTATCGTCTCGCTTCCCACTCACACTCTGACGAATGATCCAGTTTACCACAATCAGGAATATCATAGTCGGTGATAATAGACATCGTCGTCTTACTCATGCATGCATTCACTTCAGATGCCTCACCGAGTTTTGTTGTGTGGATCACCTACCTGACAAGTTCCAATGTCATATAGTTCTGGTTAAATGAGGTTGATAAAGATCTAAGACATTGCACTCCATAGGGTTGAAGTATTTTTCAAGTTACTTCGCGGTCATCAGCGCTATCGAAGGTCTTATCAAAGTCAATGAATAAACAACTTTCCTACACTGAAGCTTGAAAATACAATCTCTATGAAAAAAGTGATCAACCATTTGGAATTCTACAAAATGGTATACACACAGGTGATATCTTATTAGATTTGTGGTAGTATAGTACTTAGATACGCATGGATTACACATACGAAGCTGGTAGATACTAAAGCACGATTGGGGTCCAGGCATGTACTCCAGAATCAGCAGCAGTCCTGTATGCAACCTCGCCATCGGAAAGTGACGGCGATATGATCAATCTGAGTCCAGGTTTGATTCACAAAGAGAGGATGCCAAGTAGCGCTGCAGCGAGGGTTGAATTTGGTGCTAGTTAGAAACTGGTTTTGATCTGTGCAGAGCTGCAGAAGACGATTGCCATTATCTGACCCGCGACCATGTATTTCCTACTGACCACCCAAACGACTCTTCGTTGAGCCTAGACGCCCGATTTGTGTATTCAAGTATCCAGCCAACACTACGATATCTCTATGACGTGCCAGTTAGAGGAGATCGCCCATTTGGTAGTAAAACGTGCCATTAATTGCAACCAGGCTGCAATCCTTTAGTGCACAGGCAGAGACAACAAATAGGCACCGCTTTTCTGGCCTACCGCCTATTGCTCTCTTATAACCTAGTCTCACAGCACATAAACTACTGTTAATGAGGTTCCAGTTGGGTATTGCAGTTCCAGCTCTAGTGCGACACCTGTCACGCCGGATGCCGACGGCACAGAGCTCCCAGACAGGCGCAGGTGGTACGTACTATTCGGAATTCCGGATAGGGGAGGATATTCGAAGCACTACATTGGAATCTTGAATGCCGGTCTTTGAAACTCAGCAAACATCGATAGCGAGGCCCCACGATATTCCCACCAAATGTCCCTACCTGTTATTCAAATGTCATCAGTGTTCAAACATTGTAGGTGCTTGAATGCAATACGCGATTTCAGGATATTCGTGTTAGATATCGCACTGAGGGCCACCATTTTGAACACCACTCACTGATATCTCAAAAAAGCACAGATAGGCTGGGAATTCAGACAAGGGTGACAAACTGATGAAAGTGAAGACACCAAGGATAGTAAAACTAAAACATAAAAGTCTACGTATAAAACTGGGATTAAAAAGAAAAGCCTTGCCAAAAACATCACCTTTGTTCGTGAGCGGGATGACAAGCGTATGACTAATTTTTCTCATTACTTGTTGTTACATTGTCAGCGCAAGGGATGGAATACTGTCCGGGAGCCCAGATCTAAGCAGATGGTTGTCCTAAGGGTCCACTCCCTAAGCCTTTTACTTGGAAACGCAAAGCAAAGGAGCAGTGTTAGGAGCTACGTTCCCATGGTTGTCGGTGAATAATACAGGTCCGTACATTATTCCATCCAATTGAATTCTGGAGGCCATGTATTCCATAGTAACTCCTTTTAGTCTAGCCGCTATCCAAACAACCTTCCTGACATAGTAGAACCTACAGGAACATAAGTCCCGACCAGTGTAGACTGTTGGATCATTGTAGTATGCAAGCCCGACCACCGCGGCAAGAAAGCAGTCATCGGGCGGCTATGACATTATGTCCCCTGCCTAACACAATCACTTCTCACTTGAATATATTTTATTCTCTGACTCATATATTTTACCCTAATCTTGTTGGATATGTATGAAGAGACCTTTAAACTGAAATATATTTACAACCAAAAAGGTGGATAGTCCATCTTAAAAAACAGATAAAACTTTTTAAAGTACCTGATCTAACAATCTGCTTGCTGCTAGCTTTCCAATGGTTTCTGCATCCATAAAAGTGCTATCATTCCCCTCTGGATCTGACATTGCTTCTGAAGAATATAACCCACCATCTTTACGCTCTGCCCATAGAGTTAAGCCGAATCCAGGACTTTGGCCTGAATACTGACCCTAAAATTCATTTAGAAGTAGTACTGAGAAGTAAGAAGTGTTTTAAACGTCACTCACAAAAACTAAAAACACAGAAACATTAACACAGCGAAAGTATGCAGAAAAAAATACGCCAGTTGAAGTTGTGGGTGGTGAGTAAAGTGAAAATGATTTTGATTTATTGGTTGTATTCCCTGAGGAGCTGCTTACAGATTTAATTGAGGAGCATCCGTTGTCCACCTTCTAGACAAAATACGCTCAGTGCACGTTTGACTACGAAATGAACCTATTTAAAATTTATCTCCATGAATGCTGACATTATTGTCTATCACCTCGAATCATTGATTATGATCATCGAAGACATTGGCGAACCATAGCTTTCTTCATTACGGGTACTCAATCTACTGACAATCAACAGTTAAAGTTGCCTAGTGGTAGATGGATCAAAACTGTACAAAATTGATCCAATGTATTGACTCACTACTCATAATTTCACAAACTCCTGATATTCACCAGTATCACCATGGGATTACACCTCTTCTCTCTCAAAACCATGTGTTTCCATGCCGGGATCGTAGAATTTCTCTCACTTATGTTTGGTTTTCCACAGTGTGACAACTTCAACTGAGACATGCTGTACAAAGTTCTATTTTCCTTCGTCAGATAGTCACTTATCCAAGACCATTAACAATTTTATCTTACGAACGTGAAATCTTCTGCTATCACCTCATGAAGTAATCTTATATTTATATTTAATTCCTAGAGAAACATAGGGCTTCAGCTGCGCGTCTCCATTGCCTTCGGTTTTCTGCCAACTTTTCCACCTCGTTCCAAGTCTGCCCACATGCTTTCGTCTCCTCTTCACATGATCTCCTCCAAGTCACCCTCACCGTGATAACCAACTCGCCGCTTCCCTTTCGGGTTCCACTGGAGCGATAGCTTGTCTAGTGATGTCACTTGATGGTTTCCTCAGCGTATGGCCAATCCATTTCCATTTCTCCCTGCCTATTTGTTGCACGATCGGTTCCTGGTTGGTTTGCTCCAAGAGATCCCTGTTGCTGATCGTTTCTGGCCGACCATCTGATCTTAAGCAGTCTTGAGCGAAGACAGCTATCGATGAAGGTCTGCAGTTCGTTTGAAGTGCTCTTCATGACGCTCCAAGTCTCTGACCCGTATAGTGAGTAGCACTGACCTCACATTAGAGTTGAAAATCCGGATCTTATTTTTCATGCTGAGTGCTGTTGACCTCCACACAGACTTAAGAGTAATGAAAGCTTGTCTTGCTTTTCCGATTCTTGCTTTGATATCCTCGTCAGTTCCGCCTGTAGGTGAAACGATGCTTCTCAGGTCGGTAGGTAGGTAAAGGAGGTTGTTTCTTTCAGGCTCCTCCCATTTATGCTGGCTGATTGTTGTCTGTTGTAGTTGGCCAGTAATCTTCATCACCTCTGCTTTATCTACGTTCACTTGAAGTCCTCTCTTTGATGCTTCTTCTGCCAGCTTGTTGCTGGTTTTCACTTGCATATCTTCCAGTCTGTGGGAAATCAGACATATATCATCGGTGAAGTCCAGATCCTCCAAGTCCTTTTTGTGTTAGTCCATTTTATGCCTGTTTCCTCATTGCCCGTTGTCTGTCGCATTATCCAGTCTACTGCAATCAGGAAGATCATTGGCGATAACAGACAGCCTTGCCTCACTCCCGTCCCCACTTTGAAGGCTTCCGTAAGTTTCCCGTTGTGGATTACTTGTCATGCAGCATTGTCGTATAACTGTTGGATGAGATGTATAATTGTCGATGGCACTCCGTAGTTGCCAAATGACCTCTCGATCGACGCTATCGAAGACATTTTCAAAGTTGATGAAGTTGAGATAGATAGGTGACTGCCATTCAAAGCTTTGTTTAATGATGATCCGTAGTGTGGTGATTTGATCAATACATGACTTGTTTCTCCTGAATCCAGCCTGTTCCGGTCGAAGTTTTTCATCCAGGTTGGCTTGTTTCATTCTCTCCAGGTTGATGGAGCTTATTATTTTGCTTGGGATGAACAGGAGCATAATTCCGCGCCAGTTTTTGTATTGACTTTAGTCTCCTTTCTTTGGTAGTTTGAGTAAGTATCCTTTCTTTCAATCCTCCGGTACTTTACCCTCTTTCCACACCTTCTCCAGCAATGGCGTCATCAAGTCCGCTGTTGTCTCTGGGTCCATTTTCAATGCTTCTGCTGGGATTCCATCTGGTTTTGCTGCTTTTTCAGCTTGTAGCATCTTGATTGCATTCAGGACTTCTGATTTCGTTGGGGGTTTGATGTTCCCTGGTAGTTCTGCTTCCGTTGTTGGTATTGTTAGGCGCGTTGTAGGTGGCGGTCGATTTAGAAGTCTTTTGAAGTGTTCAGCCCAGTGTTTTCTTTGCTTCACTCCTTTGGTGATTGGCTTTCCATTGTCATCCTTCACTGGCTTAATTTGTGTTGAACTTTTGCCCGATAGGTGCCTAGTTGTTTGGTAGAGTGTGGCGAGGTCTCCTTTGCCTGCAGCTTGTTCTGCTTCGTTTGCCATGGCTTCATAATATTTTCTTTTGTCTTCCCTGACACTCTTCTTTACTCTATTGTTCATTGTATTGTAGCTTGCATTCAACTCCTGTTTTCGTTGCTCGTCGGTGCACCGGATAATCTTTTGTTTCACTGTCTTTCTCTCTTCTATTAGTTTCCAAGTATCCGTAGTGAGCCACTGTTTGTCCTGTCTGTTCTTTCTGCCTAAAACTTCCATGCAGGTTTGACTCCACACCGCTTTTAGGTTGTCCCAGTGCTTTTCGACGCTGACCTCTCATGAAGTAATCTATAAGAGATAAATGATTCATGTGGTTAGCAACTCAGAGCCTTCACTGCATCACTGAGTGACTAACAGAGTGAGTAAGACGCAACCTTAAATAGAATCCTACCACAGTTAAGGTCATCACAATTCGAGACAGCACATAAAAAGAGAAGATTATTAGATTATGCATAGTGCAGTAGCCACACATGAGCATTATGGGGAAACAATCGAGGCCCCGAAACAGCTGTCTGTAAAGTAGTGATGAGTCAATACATTGGATCAATTGTGAACAATTTTGATCCATCTACACTAGGAAACTTAAACTGTTGATTGTCAGTAGACTGAGTACCCACAATCAACAGTTTCATTAATTGATGTACTGTTTCGCAGGCATCATTGTTAGCTCTTTGTCCTCATACTGTTGGTAGTATCACATGTCAACGTAAGAAGTGATCCTGCCTGTATAATGCATGTCCAATATACCTCGATTGACAAGTTTAAATCTGTCTGTCTGTCTGTTTTCGACATAGAACTTTGCACAAATGTGCGGAAGTTCAAGTCGCCACATTCCGTGTAGCACGCGAAGCAAGAGAAGAAAGTACAAGAAAAGCATAATAGAAACAGTGAGCAGAGGTGTGAGACAAAGGAGTAATAAAGAAATACAAAACAGTTTCATTGGAGATCATAAGTCACAGGGAGTGGATGCATCTGCGCCACTGAGAACGATTTTGAGCCATGTCACCAATTGTTTCCAACCATAGATTTTTACCGTCCCGAGGACCCCAGCCTGGAAGTCTACACCTTCCTACGTGGCTTAGACCAACTGTTGTGGATTTCATTGACTGATGCCAAGTTTTTGTTTGACCGCCGCTAGCTTTTTTCCAGCCTGACCCTATATCCGCTAACATAGCTCGTCGAGGGAGGCGATGACTTGGCATACGTAACACATGTCCTAACCATCTCAGTCGATGTAGCTTCACGACTTCGTCGATTGATTTCCCCTGTTTACCTAGAACTCTACGCCTAACCTCCATGTTGCTCACCTTATTATGCCACTTTACACGGGAAATAGAACGCAGGCACCTATGATCAAAGACAGCTAGTCTTTTCATGTCTTCCACTCTCAGTGGCCAGGTCTCACAACCATAAAGGAGGACGGAGCGGACTGATGAGCAGTACACCCGCCCTTTGGTCGATAGTCGAACATCTCGTCTACGCCAGAGTCGGCGTAAACTAACAAATGCGAAACGAGCCCCTTGTATTCGTGCTGAGATTTCGTCAGAGATCAGCCCGTTGGGGCTGATGGTACTTCCCAAATAAGTGAAGCGGTCAACGTGCTCTACCACTTCACTTCCTATTTTTAAACTAGGCGTCGATGTAGTCCAGTCCTGTAACATCATCTTGCATTTGGCGGGAGCGAATCGCATGCCAAACATTCGTAGATTGCTGTTCAAGGTGTTTAGAAGACTCTGCATTTCGTCAGCGTCTTCGCCTAGAAGGACTATATCGTCTGCATATTCCAAGTCAACGAGATTATTCCCAGGTAGCAAGTCAATCCCTGAATCGCTGAAGTCACCTAGGGTTAAGTCCATTAACACATCTATGATGAAGTTGAATAGAAAAGGAGATAATGGGCATCCTTGACGGACACCACTGGTCGTCATCAGTTCAGATGACAGCTCGCCGTAAGCCCTCACCTGGCTGTATGAGTACGAGTAGAGTGCCTTAATCAGTGCAATATATTTTCTTGGAATTCCCTTTACAGCCAAGCATCTCCAGAGAACTTCCCGATCGACAGAGTCGAATGCTGCCTTTAGGTCAAGAAATATAATGACTGTTGGACGCCGGTAGGAATGCCTATGTTCTAGAATCTGTCGGAGGGTGAAGATATGATCAATACACCCTCTTCCTGGTCTAAAGCCTGCCTGGCTCTCTCGTGTTTGTGCTTCCCGAGCACCACTCAGTCTACGCATGATTATTGAGCCTAAGACTTTAGATACTATATTAGTCAAGCTAATCCCTCTGTGATTATCACAGGAAGACTTGTCTCCCTTCTTGTATATGGGGATAATCAGTGACTTACACCAACCCGATGGGACTTCTTCTGATTCCCAGACGCTGCCTAGTACCTCAGTTAATCCGGACAGTAAGCTGTCTCCACCGTACTTAAATACCTCTGGTGTCATTCCATCAGGTCCTCATAGATTGGCTCCTATCGCTTATGTAATACTGCCTTTGACCTCAGCATTTCTTACTGGTCTATTATAAACATCACATAGTGAAGAAGTATGAACAGCTGGATAACGTTTTGCACATAAATTGCTTATAACCATATCAATTTAGTCACACTCACATAGTCTTAAACATATTTTCTCTCTGCGACTTTAAAAGCCTCTGTACAACTGAGGTATAAAGAAGGAACATCAGAGGCCATACAAAGGATTTCCAATGAGGCTGGAATTAGTCAAGGCGGCATTTAAACCAGAGGTAAACTTTTTCGCCTTCAGAACCCAATGGATCCAATTGAGAAAAACCATATAATTTACCAAATAGCATGTAATGACTCTGTGAGGTCAATTACACGGGTGAAACTGGTAGATCGGAGTCATTTCAATTATTGAAACATGACAATTTTTTAGCTAGACCTAGAATGATGAGTGTTCGCCAATCACGCAGGTGGATCGGGGTTCGATCCCCAGCCGATGCACTCCTTTACCTCGCCAAGCCATTAATAAAAAACTAATGGAGAGGGAAGGTCGGACATGAGGCTAGCAACCTCATTCCGTAAAAATAAACACCACTGCTACGGAAACTTAAAAGCTTTAGCTAAAAGCTCTATTTTCTACTGGGAATGTAAAGGAATAAAAAGAAAGAATGATTAAGGCCTATTAAGTTGAACAATCTGGAGGAAACTGAGCTTGGACACTGCCCTACATTCACTTGCGTGTGATCAAAAAATAGAGTGGGGCAAGGTCAGACTATTAAAAAATAATATAGTTAGGTGGAGAGACTGAGGTTAATCGCTGAATCTTTGTTTATCGATTGAATGCTGCACACGTGCAATCGGAATGTCGCAACGCCCATACCCGAGATATGGATAGTGGCAAGAAACAACAAAGTGAAGAGGCAGACAGAGAAAATATACACAAAACAATTTGTAAAGCGATGCGAGTAAAGTGATATGATTATGAGCAGGAATAGTTTACTCTTGAAATCTGATTAATACTTCATCAACACTGTGTGATATTTGAAGTGGAATTATCTAATAGGCAATTATATTCTAGCACAGTGCCCAAGTTCTACACTTACATTTCTTATTGGGTTGTTTCACACATCACGCGTAATTCAACGTGTATTTCTCAGTTGAGAGGTTTATCACTTCATTTTTTTTTCATTTAAGCCAGACCCAGAGCAACTAGTCATTCACATCATAGAGGGGGCAGCTATGCAGAGTGAGGGCACTAAGAATAACACAAGTAAGAGTCAACACATATCGAAGTTGAAATCGACGCGGTGAAAACAAATTTGGTGATTACAAGCATTCCACATTCATGCATAGATTCACATTTTGAATAACACTTGAAAGTAGGCAGTAAATTCATGGAATAACTAAAAAAAACTCATTTTCTGTTTACCTTCAAAACTTAGTGGTTTCTGTGCTCTGACCGAATAATTAAATTCGGAGTTTTTTACTCTGAACAAATATATTATTATTTAATGTTCATTCCTAACGTTTATTTAGAGGGGAATATAGGAAACATACTTTAAATCTCATCTTTGGGAAATACCGTGTATGATGGTACTAACCATCAAACCAACAACAAAAATACTTCAAGATATAACTTCAATTAGCAGCCCCATCGAGGGTTAATCACTGACCTTTCGATGATCTAACGTAATATACACATCACTCAAAAATCGATTCAACAATGCTTTTGCACCACAAACCACACGTTGTCCATACGATGAACTGACACGACAACTCCATGCGATACCACGAATTCTAAAAGATCAATATATTTTTAGATTAGTTACAACAAAATACTAAGACGAAATGTGAAGGGAAAAAATAACAGGGAGGAAAGACGATTGATAAAATATAAACCGAATGTGACATAAAATTCACTCTGAACACAAGTGAAATCGGACTCTATGCTTCACCGATAAGATAACCCAGATTAGATGTATACGAGTTCGTAAGGAGCACTCCGTGTTTCGTTTTGTTTACTAAAACATTAGGTAACGTCTGAGAATCAGATGAATTCCCATTGGGTTGATGTAAGTCATTAGGTATTCCAGTCAATATACAAGAGGGAAGACAAGTCATCTTGTGATTGATAACCACATGGGGATTAGCTTGACTAATTATGGTATCTAAGGTTCCAGACTCAAAATGGTGCTACTCGGAGGAGAAACAAATACGAGAAAATCAGACAGGCTTTAGACCACCAGAAAGACAGTGTATTCATCATATCTTTAGCCTTCCACGGATTCTGAAACGGAACAGAGGTTACTTACAAGCGACTGTCCAACAATTGCCGTATTTCTTGACCTGAAAGCGACATTCGATTCCATCGACCATGAGGTACTACTAGTCAATGTTTGGCTGTGAAGAGTATGCCGAGAAAATACATCTCACTGATCAAGGCACTCACTTAAAGTCATGCAGCCAGCTAGCTAAGAGCTTACGGAGAGTTATCATCTGAAGTAATGACGGCCAGTGGCGTCCGTTAAGGATGATCACAATCCACATTTCCCTTTAGTTTTCTCACAGATATACTAAACGACTTAACGCTAACTGGTTTCAGCGACTCAGAGATTGGCTTGTTACTAGGGTATAATTTCGATGACAATATGCGGATAATATAGTTCTCACTCCTACGTGAAAACGCTGAAAAAAATGCAGTCTTCTGAACACCTTGAGCAGCAGAAATCTTCTATAGTTTGGCATACGAGCGATTTTCTGGTGCTGTGATGAGGCTACAGGTCTATTACACTACATTGACTCACTCCCAGCTCAAAGATAGGGAGCGAGTGAAGTGGAAGAGCACGTTAAACACTTCACTTATTTGGAAAGCCGCATCAAACAGCCCCAGAGGGTTGATCGCCGACGATATCACACCACGGATAGAGAAGCCTCGTTTGGCATTCTCCAGGCAACCTACGCAATCTCTGGCCTAGTAGACGTGATGTCCGGCTGGCTGGCCATCCACCAAAGAAGATACGTGTTTACTGCACAGCAGCAGTTCGCCCCCTCCTCCTTTAAACCTGGCTGTCAGACATGACCACTGGTAAAAATGGAAGACAAAAAAGGCCGTCCGGCCAGCTATCTTCAGTCATAGGTGACTGCGTTCTGTCACCTCCTGTGTTAGGTTAGGTAGTGTAATAGGGTGAGCAATGTCGAGTTGTTGAGACATCGGTCGAGTGCTGCCATGTAAGAAGAAGGGAAAATCAGTCAGTTGACGAAGTTGTGAAGCAGGTAGATCGATTTAGTGAGGTGGTTAGGACATCTGTTACGCTCGCATCCCTAGCCATAGATCGCCTTCCTCGACGAGAAATGTTAGCTGCCGACACAGGATGGATAAGGTCGGTAAGGACCTAGCTAGCACGTCGTAGTCAAACAAAGCATAACCTCATTAGTCAGTCAAATCCATAACACTTAGTCTAAGCCAGCCACGTAGAGAGGTGTAGACTTCTTGACAGGCTGGCTGGGGTTATCGGGATGGTGAGAACCAATGAAGGTTGGAGACATTTGGGGATACGGCTAGCTCAAAATCATCGCTGTCAGTAATGGCGCAGGTGCATTCGCTATCTGTCATTTGTCAAATCCTCTATAGAGCTCTATTCTTCTTCCATATAACTAACCTTTTCCCCCTCATACTTGAGTTTATTATCTCTGTTGCGTTGTGTGTGCTAAATGGAGGGAGAGTGGTAACTCGGGCTAGTGCACATGTGTGTGGTAAGGTTCTATGTTGAAACCAGTCAGTAAGTCAATCTGTTACCATTTCAGACTTACCAACCAGAAGATAGTTTTTGCTATTGAGACACAAATTACGAAGTTATATTCATCTTGTCGTTTATTTGGTACACAGTCATATTCCGACAGAGTCACATAATCAAATACGAATCTACTAGCATTGGCATCCCAACAGAAATCCAAAAAGAATTGTTATCAACGTGTACCGAGTATGTAAATTTTAAATTTGATGGTACACTTTACAGACAAGTTAACGGGGTTGTAATGGACTCCACCATAGGTCCAATGTTGGAGGATTTTTTTCAAAGTAAACTAGAAAATGGCCTTTCGAACACAACATTATCAGAAAATTCTTATTTTACTGAAGGTATATATAGATGTGATATCTTCTTTCTTTGTGAAAATCATTTGCGAAGGAATACAATAATAATTCAGTTTAATGAAGAGCATATTCCACTTAAAAATCCACATGTGAAGAGGAATCCCAAAATATGCCCCCCTTATAAGAAAACCAGATGGTAGTATCAAGATAAATTTGCAAAGGAATGCACATGACAATATACACATTTTCATATCTTTCTTCCTCTCCATTACAAAAACAAAATTATATAAGGACACCCAGCTACATGGTCACAGTTATATGCTCGGAAGACATACTTGAAGATGGACTAGAGTTGATTGCATATGATACTATAATTAAAAATAGCTATCAAGAAAATTTCATCAGGAGACACATAACCGAAAAAGTAGAAAAAGACTACACTTACAGATGCTATACGACTGTAATCTATTCATATTATTGACTCGATGTTATTTAAACACTAATGTTGTTAATAATGCTATTTCTCTCACTATTATGGATATATAACAGCAAAACCTCGTGATGTCAAAAAGAATATTCTTTAACTTATCAGTCTTATGAAACTTCTAATGGGCATTTGTGATCAATTTACAAGTAGTCAGACTTTTAGTTTCGTAAAAGATGACTGTAATTTAGTGTCCAGATACCCTATTTTCACAGTGAAGTTTGTGCTCTAATGCTACAGAATATGGTATTACTTGAATCGTACAAAAAGAGAAATTACTTAGCGCCAAAATAAGAAAAACGAGCAATCCACAGGAAAACCCAGATTTTGGTTTGAGGAAGTGAAAATGAAATTATAACATTTATCTAGTGAATCACTTGTTATACTAACACCATGTTCCCTATAGCTGGGGAAGTAAGTGGCAAGAGCTAAACTTGAAAGCAGTTGACTCGGTAATTACTGCAAACCGCCTTGTTTTCTTTACTATTAACTAGGTAGTCATATGGAAAAAGTACAGCGTGTGAATACGCTGCAGTGAAAAACTGCAAATCCAGCTCTGAGTCTCGAAGGTGACGTCTAGAGAACAAACACAGAAGTCCACAGGATTTACCGAATACATAAAATAAAGGCTGCTATGCAGCTTACTGAAAACATCCGGTACGTTTATAAGAAATTTAGGGGTGTTGGAGCGGGGGCAATTTTGTGGTTTAAGAGGGTATTTTAGGGGAAATTTCGGGGGTATTCGGAGTTTGGGGAAAATGACGCATTTGTCCAAAATTCTTTCATTGAGTTGTTCTAATAAACTCCAAAAGTGCCCTACAATTTTTATATGTACGTAGGAAGGATCAAAACAAGTGAATGTAGAAAACGAGTGTATTAACAGTGGGCGATGTATGTGCTAAAAAGAGCTAATCACAACTCGTCTGACACTTACCTATACACTTTTCCAACATCTACTTTATTCATAGGAGTAATTCCGCTGCACGGTTTGAGGAAAAGCGATACTTCACCACCACCACCAGGAAAAACTCCACGTTTCAGAATATCGATTTTAATGGATGCACTGGCACTCAAACCGATGACACTTTTGTAAATTGGTAACCACGACTGTATTATCATATCCAAAGAGGGATCATGAGGAATGTTAGTAACCCCAGTCAAAGTAGCTTCAATCGGTGTCTTGCAAAATGGTGCAACCATGAGTAGGAATTCTACATAATAACCCAGTCCTCTGCTCTTACAGCATTCAAAAGTGAAAGTGCCTCCAACCAGTGTGCCCGGAAAAATTGTGACAGCCGTACCTGTATTCAGTCAGCATAATAGAGACTGAAACTAACCTGTATCATTTATCTTAATTACTGATCCATTCGATATTTCATCGACGAGTTTTAGAAGGCATACTTCTGCATCATCTACACCAGGGTTTGCGGATTTATGTCTGATACATTTTAAAATAAGCTTTTTGCAGCTTATTAAACTTAGTGCGAGCTTCACTCTGAAATTGCCATGACCTTCAGCCAATACGCTTGAAACCATGTGCTTATATAACGTCAAAAACAAATTAGGCGCGGCAATTTCTCAATGATTCAATGAATCGACTCAGAGATGAGCCATCGTCTACGAGCCAACAACACTCTCATGTGCAAATAGCAGTTCTGGTAGTGGCTTTTAAACCATCTCCTATATAATTGTGGCCTCTTTGTTCGTTTCTGTGGTGGTTTTATGACAAGCTGCGCATTTCGAATACTTTTTAATAGATAAAAATAATAAAAAAATTTAAAAAAAATAAAAAATAAAATATAAATAAAAAGAATTTTAAGGTCATATTTTGTATGAAACGCTTTGCTGGAGTACATATCAGTGGTATCATATTGTTGAATGACACTATATCTACTGCACTTTTATCAGAAAATGTTGCTTGCTACTGATATCTGTGCAAAGTAATCGATCAAATGAGGTAGCAAGTTCCATACTCTAACATATATTATTTAATTTTCATGGAATCATACTGTCATATTTTGGTGTGTTTACTGAAACGACCCGATAGACACTAGATAGAGCAGGTGGCGCTAGTTCAATAAAAGTAATATATCATATAATCGCCGTCATTTTCATGCACACGCGGTCAAATTTTTCTGTGCGAGTGAATGTTGTTGTGCGTGTAACAATGTTTAAGGTGTACTTTACAAGGTGTCAAAATTTATGGCATTGCGCACATTATACCTGTGTTAGATACTGTTTATTATGTTGTTGCATACATACATGCCAATATTGTGTGTTGGCGTATATACATAGGGAAGAATAACCACAATTTGCATCTAAGGGTTGCAGAGCATATTCCGAAGTGGTTAGAAAAACAGATGAGCTTTGGAAAATCGACAGGTGTAGGCCACCCACTTCGTCTGTATCCAAACATCTTTTCGATATGAAACACTAGAGTGGTGTCAGAACTATTTTTGATGTTATTCTTAGAAACGGGGAAGAACACTTACTCAAGTACGCTGAGGTGGTAGCTGTTCGTAAACTTAGGTCCCCCTGTGTGCACGAAGGAAACTTGTTACTGCTTTTGATTTATCTACCCTGGTAATCTTCATATGACTAGATAACCAAACGTGGTGTTAGTTATTCTCATCATTCTTATTCTGGAGTCCTTTTGTCAATTTTTGTATTTCAGTTGGCCTTATTTTTCATAAAAGAATGACTCAACAAGTGAATGTGTGAGGCATCAGATTGTCCCAAATGTTTATTGAGCGAATATGTCAGAACATTTCACAAATAATCTCCGTCTTCTAATAACCCCGTCCAGGTATGTTATTTCACCATTAAGAATCGTAAGTGGTTTACTAGGATGAACCTTCAAATGCATCGTAAAGCTTGTTCATATTTTAAGTTCGGTTAATTCCATCTCTTTGAAATTTGACTGCTGTACAATGTTGATATTTTCAGCGAAATGTTATTCTGTGATGACCGGAAGTACATGTGCGCTTCATACGCATTAATTAGCGGATTTCTACAGCCTCTGAATATACTGTAACTATTGAGAAGGTTTAAAAAGGCTTGTGACTTCTGAAGGCCTCAAACAGGAACTGGCAATACTATCATTTGGATAGCCTTTTAATCAGTTATTAAGTATCCTTCCAACGGGGGCCAATGTGGTTGCTTTCTGCATTCACATTGGTAGTTTGTTCTATAGCTGAGTGTATCTAATCAAGTAAGACATTAACCTGATAGCTGTTTTAGGCTGTTCGACAGTCACCGTACCCTACGTGTGTATTAGGTATCACTAACCACCAATTAGCGAATGACCTTGTATTCCCCCATAAGTTTCATCCACGTGAGGTGGCTCTATTCCGCTTGATTCGAGTCAAATTCTAGGGAGGGTAACCTCATGATTCTAATATTTCGTAGAAACATTTCTGCCAGGTCCTACTTGTCCTTAACCCATTTTTTGTATATTTATAGTTACTGGTTTTTAAAACAGCCTGTGACAGGTGTAATTGCTGAAACAGAGAAAACAGTCTCCTATCAACAGTTCAGTGTTACTTGCACTACAGAGATATCGCATCGTGGAGAGAGAAGCTTTCATCGCAAACGCGGATGACTAGAAAGAATATAACTAACTATCATTGCTTGGATGTATTCACAGGACGTAACAAACAGATGGCTTTAGTCCAGGAATACTCCGATATGATTTTGGTTTAGCATCATAAATATGCAAATACATTCTTCATTAATGTTCTACATGAGAAAGATTTCCTAGCATATACATATATATACCTATTCTACATGTAGCTATTGCACGTACTTCTAGTTCAAGAAAAGCTTCAGATTACTGATGACTAAAGGAAAGAAAAACAATTTCTGTAATGTAATCGATTTAAATATTTCCCCATCAGCCTGGTAGAAGTGAACTCAAGGAGCCCATGTATTTGTATTGTCTAAAGGATTCTAAGAACATCTGTGTTGTTCTGAAATACAAAGAATACTCAGAGTTGTTGTGGAACACATGGCCTACTATCACTCATTGATTTATAAGTCTTTGTGACATAATAAGTTATAATAAAATCAGAATGTGTCTGTCTGTTTAAGGACTTATTTTTTAATAACGGAAATGCAATAAATTATGGCCGTCACACATTCGTTCCATCACACACCACGTGAATAAAATCTTCATCTCGAACACGAGCAGTCAAGGTGAGAACATTTACCGGTGAAGTTAGTTATTCAAGGATCCAAACGAACTAATGGGACAGAAACATTCCCGGAAAAGGTGTTCAGGATACTTATTATTTATGGCGTGTGGAGAAAGGTGAATCTATGTCGGTGGCCTGGTGTGCCTGTACAATTCATGAATATTCATTTCTGCCATAATATATTCTTGCAAAGGAACCTGATATCATGATGGTAAGTGCAGCCCTTTTTCATAAATTACGGGGTATTGTTTATTAACTTCCGTAACCACTGAAATAATCAGAAATTTCCCAGAACTCGAGTTATCACTTTTAAGTATATGCTTTCCCCAGGAGCACATGTTGAAAGATCTCTCCGAAAAACCACAGCACGAACAATTCCAGTTATTCAAAAATACTGCTCGATAATACCATCTATGTGTGTCTACAGAGGCGAGATTTGAATTGCGTTGAAGTCTGTATAACACGTAGGAAGTCTAAAAAACACTATGAAATGGCTACTGTGAATCATCAGTTGACTTGGAAATTCGGAAATGTGGGCGAATTGCCAGGTGGGAATGATTCCTTCTTTGAGACTTAGGGTTTTTCAATCTGCTGAGTAATAAATGGCCTTCTGTACTTGACTTGGTTTCCCACTCCACTTGTCCTGTGTTGTGCTTCCGAAAGACGTTCAAAGTACAATCGGTCTCCTATAGCGCTACCAGCTAACGGTTAGTAATTAGACAGAAAAATAGATTTATATATTCGCGGGTCCATTGATATTTAATCTTCTATTTTATTATACTTGACTATAATCTTTGCATTTCTGATTTCAGGTATCTTTCACTCGTGTGTACTATTTGGTTTAGCATATTTTGTTCACTGTGATGTATCATGGGAAAAACATGGTGACTCGATTTAAAATCTCCACTTCTGCGGATGTGAATTCTGTCGTACCTACCAAATTGAGGTTACCTGAATATGGTCGATATGCCCCACAACCACGCACCTCTAAAGTAGAGTGCTACTTTGACGAGGATAGCATTATGTTTGAAACCACCTAGTAAAGGTGCGTGTGTTCCCAGTTACAAGCCCTCATGAAGTATGCGTAACAAACCTTGTACGCACAAGATCGTGACTCACCTCTTGAACAGTAAGCTCGCACTGCTGACCGAATATTTGAGAACAGACGACTTACAGAAGGATACGCGAAACTTATAAGTATAAGCAAAGACACACCAATCTCAGAACTAATGGCCAAAGTTAGAATGATAAAGGAACGACTCTCATAAATACACTTAGCGCAGGACAGATGAGATAAACTGTCAAAAGGAGCATGTCCACGGTCCAAAAGTAGACCAAGGGGAAAATAAACCAACAGGCCAATTCTAGCAGTACCAATTGTGGTGGCGATTACAGAGAAGGGTTACCCACTCAGTCACCTGTTATAAGTCAAGAACCAAAGCTACATCACGAACCTCCTGGCTGACACGGAAGATGCACCCAGTACCATGCGAAAACGACGGACGAGACGGTACCAAATAAGTCTTCGGTCACGCCACAGGCCTCCAACAGCTAACGTCACGACGTTCCGGAGAATATCACCGACAAAGGCTTAAGTGACAGCTTCCATGGGCACATATATTTACTGATTCAGACCAAAGAATCTTAGGTACATGGTGTCAGCCAAGTCTCGCAAACCGTCAATACCCAGCTCTTGCTACGCTCCGGCTCACGCTGTTCCTTGAAGTTTCTCAGAAACGCTTAGTAATAACGGACGCAAAACCAAAACGCCGATTGGCCACTCGAGAATTCTTTATTGTAACACCAACATATGAAATATGTTTCCACTAAGATCTGTGAACAAATATTACAATAATAAATCACAATATTACTTCTGACGGTTTTCTGCTGACTTCTTTCTGAACAGCGACCGATGAGACGATGACTGTCGTATTGATGCCTCCGCGAAAATTGGGGAAGTTGGTTTTGAGCAAACAACCATGAATTGATCGTTCAATCTTCAACTGCATTGACACCTTGTTCCTGGAAATTTATGCCTCATAAGTGAATGTTCGGAATACACCTCTGTCAATGTAGTTGAAGAATGAACGATCAATTCATGGTTGTTTGCTCAAAACCAACTTCCCCAATTTTCGCGGAGGCATCAATACGACAGTCATCGTCTCATCGGTCGCTGTTCAGAAAGAAGTCAGCAGAAAACCGTCAGAAGTAATATTATTATATTATTATATTATATTATATATAAGCTTTATTCCAAATCAGTACTTGTGATACAGAATGGAATTCTCAGCATTTTACTACAATATTGCATCCAGTTTTTTGTTTACATTAACAATAAATAAA